ATAAAGACAGAGAGGTGGGAGAATATGGGTGGAAGAGCCAAGGCATGAATAACTACAGTGCTTATGAAGTGTGATGATGTACTAATACTGCGCTCCCTTCAGCAGAAAATATACCAGAGATGAAACCACAATGTTTAAATTATGTGCTGATGGTACACATCTCTACCATCATACGGAAGACAATGGGAATACGCACGTTAAGTGCATTTCAGTAAAATGTCTCTTAAAAAACAAATGTAGAAATCAATAAAATAAATTTTAAACTAACTTGCTGAGAAGACTTGCCCTCAGCAAGACAGAAACTGAAAAGGAAGTGTGGAGTCAGCAAACTACTAGACAGACACACATGGGTACTTTATCTGATGGCCAAAGCTTAATTTTAATTTTGCTTGTTCCTACTTGTTCTTTCTCTGTTCTGTTCTTATACCCTGATGTCCTCCTCCTCCATCCTCCCTGATGTCCTCCTCCTCCATCTTCCCCATGTCTTCCTCCATCTTCCCGATGTCCTCCTCCTCCATCTTCCCGATGTCCTCCTCCTCCATCTTCCTTGATGTTTTCCTCCCATTTCTCTTATTTTCTCTTAATGTTTTTATCTCCTGACACAAAAATTTCTACACAAGAAAAGATGACCTCACAACCACAAATTACATATTTTCAAAAAACAAAAAATCTTTACAAAGGAAGAAATCACATTATGATCACAAGTTACATTTTTCTTACAAGCTCACAATTAGTTAAACATTTTTCTTTGTATTAATATTCCCACCATAACATCTTCACCCCCAAACAATGATTCCTTTATAAGTGATTAACTGATTAACAAAGTTTTAAGCAAGCCAAGTATATTTCAACCAATTCCTTTTGTACTTGGTAGGCAGCTGTTTTCGGTCATAAAGAAAGGATCAAGCATTTTAGTATTTATCTCAAAAGGTAACCTTGCAAAAGACTGTAAAAGAATCACAAATCTAAGCTTATATATAAAAAGGAATTAGCCATTCCTACTTTAAGTCCTCAGAGTGCACACCCACCCAACAACAATTTTTATGAAATCATACTAGGAAGACAAGGGAAATTAATAATTGCCTTTGGTCACCAATCTATCTTAGCAAGGAAGGCACATCAGCTAGTAATAACCAGGCTTCCTTTGTTCTTGTCCCTTGACCTCTATTAAAAGTGTGCCTTTCTAAACTTTAAATTGTTTCTCAACATTTTCTATATCAAAACTATTAACAAAAATATCTTAACCTAAGTTTACTAACAATCTACATCTCTAAATTCTTTCTAAGGGTGGCGGTTGAATCATTAATCTGCTCCAGTACAAATCTTGGAAAAAGTCATCACTACTATTGTAAGTAACAGTGACGTTGCCCAGCCAGGGGCTAGGAACCCTGTAGAGATGTCACACAACTTGCAGAGTGTAAGGGACTGGTGACTGTGAGGGCAACAAGCAGAGCTGTGCTCAACAACAGCAGGTCCTCAGGAAATGTAGCCCCCGGAGCTCTGTCTCTCCAAGGCTAACTAGTGGGCCCTTTTCCATGAGTCCAAAAGCTGCTTGCTGTTCCTCTTGCATGGCCCCTGACACTAACTTAATTTCAATTTGCAATTATTCTTTGCCCATTCTATAAAATTCATAGTGATCTGGCTAAATTCACTTAACAGTTTCAGTACCTTCTTTTTGATAAATTTTTAGTTAATTATGTCTAAAAAAGACAATTATGTTTGTTTCTTTTCAATGTTAAGCTTCCCTTTTTTCACTTTTCCTCCTTTCTTTTTTATTTGATTTTAATTGTGTGTGTCTACATGCTTACAGTATTGGTCAGTAAAGCCAGTAAAATGCTAAATAAAAATGGTCAGAGTGAGCATCCTTGCCTTGTCATTGTTGGGTCCAAATTGGCCCCCAAAATGGCAGTGCTGGAGATAATGTCTTAAACAAAAGGGTAAAGAGTAGCCTAAACTTAGCACTACTCAGGAATTTCCCAATGCAGCTTTGTTTACCAAGAAAACCACTACCTCTCTTATTCATTCCAGTGGTCAATTACCTTTGCAAGGGCATCTCATTCCAGCTTAATCTTAACAGCCTTCATCAGCTCAAAGACCTCTATTTTGCTGACTATCATATAAAATCTGCTCACTCTCCTGCCAAACTGTTGTCCTCAATTCTTGGAAGCTGACTGGCAGTCTGTTCTCTCAATAAACTTTTCTTTCTACTCACATAGTGGTCCTGTTCAAAAACTTCACTGTGCCCTCACTTACAGTTACTATTATGGAAGGTAAGTCACCATTAAATAGGATATGAAGTTTAAATATTATTGTGCACTGAAGTCATTTATTAGGATGAAAACAGAAAACTCAAAAGTATTTGCAAACAGAATGAGCAATATATTGAAAATGGATACTATATCATGACATAGTTTATCTCAAGAATACAAATTTGTTTAACACTAACAACTAATCAGTAGGGGCTAAAGATAGTTAAGAATACTTTACTGCTCTTACGACAAACCCAGGTTTTGGTTCCCAGCATCTATGTGGCAGCTCACAATTGTCAGAATTCCTGTTTTAGAGGAAACTTCAGACTTCTGAGGGTACGGCACACATGGTACATATAAATAGATGCAGGCAAAACACCTGGACACTTCAAAAAAACTTTTTAAAAGAATCAACCAGGATAATCATTAAGAGAATAAAACAGAAAAGTCAGAAATCCCCATAGATGCAGATAAAAACTTAGTGATTTATTTATAACAGCTTCTCCAAATACAAAAGTAGCAAGCAATACATTAAGCGATATATGCATAAAATTAATACAACAAAAACTAAGAACCATGCTGAGTGTGGTGGCGCAGGACTATACTCCCTGTACTTGGGTTAAATAAGGGCCAGCTGATCTAACAAAGAAGCAATATAACTAACAGAACATTAAAGGACACCTGTAGAGACACATAGTGTACCCTAAGGAAGAATCAATAGTGTTAAAAGTTCAATTCTCACAAAGTCAAAACCACAAATAAAACACAATCCCAGTGAAAGCCTCAATTTGACTTTTACTTGAAATTCACATGCTGATTCTAACATGCAGAAATTCAAAGAATCCAGGTTCACAAAGAGCTTAAAAAATATTAAAGTCGAAAGAGTCAAATTAACTGACTCCAAGATCACTACAAAGCTAACCCAAATGTCTGATGATGGTAGGTAGAACTAAATATGATTACCTAGAACATGAGTTCTTGAAACAGACTACATACACAGCCAGTGAGTTTAGCAAAAGTGCAAAGACAGGTCCATTTTAACTGTACCCTACCACAGTGTTCTTACAAGGTTAAGCAAATGTGGCTCAATTATTTTAGGAAACAATCCGGCATTTTCTTATAATGTTCAGTATAAATTTGCCATTTCAGCTAACAATTCCTAGATACTTCTTAAGAGAAATGAAATCATATCTATGTAAAAAATTATACTCAAATACTAAAAGCAGCTTAACTAACAAAGACAAAACACCTTAAATGTCTAACAAAAAATAAACAAAAGGTTACAATACATTCATACAGTGGAATACTACACAAGAACAATCCTAACTACAGCACAAGGCAAATGATGATAGATCAAAGAAATATACCATACAAACAAACCTCAAAACACTTAAGGCAAAATAACAGACAAGAAACCAGTGGCCGTCTGGCATTTGTGGTCCAGAATTAGAAGTACAAGGACACAAGAGCTCTTCTCTTGATACAGGTAGGTTAACATTACTGTATAAGTTCACCAAATTCACCAAAATGTACACTTAAGATGGTGTGTTTCGTTGCGCATAAATTACATTTTGGTGAAACAGTTAAGGCTCTAGCCCTGGTTTTACTGATACCGTTTAGCAGTGAGAAGTCATTCCCCCTTGAAGGTGATGGGGAGGTGGCTCAGTGGGTGAAGCTGAGTTTGGATCTCTAGCACCCATGTCAACACACAGGCAGAGTGGTGTGCACCCATAATCCAGCACTGCAGACAGACAAGAGGATTCCAAGAGCTGGACCAGCCCGCCAGCAAGCCTAGCCTAATCAGCAAGCCCTGGTTCAGTGAGACAGCATGTCTCAAAATATAAGGTGAAAAGTAACTAGGAAAGATGTGAGCTCTTTCCTCTGTAAATGCATGCATGGGCACACCTATACACACACTTTCACAAATAAAAATTCCTTGTACTTAAAAAGACAAAATGAGCTGGGCATTGGGGCCCACACCATTAATCCCAGCCCTCAGAGGTAGAGGCAGGTGGATCTCTATGAGTTCGAGGCCAGCCTGGTCTACAGGACATCCAGAGCTACACAGACAAACCCTGTCTTGAACAAAAAAACAAAAAAACAAAAAAAAAAGAAAGAAAGAAATTAAGTTATGATGGAAATAGTATGAACCACAAAGACAGTACTATATAAATCCCAAGCAAGCCTCTCTGATAATAATAAACTAGCAAAAGCTTAAGAATGCTTCAAAATTTCCTAAGTATCGCTTTCTCTTTTATTTTCTTGAGTTGAACAAAATAACATGGGAAATAAAATGGAGATCACCAGAATAATCAAACCCCATCTATAAAACAAATTTTGTTCTATTAAGAAACTCATACATTCATGCACAACGCTTGATTTGAGAGATAAAATCCTAGACACATGACAAATGAGCAAAGCTGAATAGACTCAGTGGGTTATATACACAGGTGTACGTGTGTGTGTGTGTGTGTGTGTGTGTGTGTGTGTGTACATGTAATAATAATGAAAAAGTGATCATTAAAAACAGGGAGGGCACGGGAGGAGTTGGATGGGGGATGGGGAGGTGGGAATGATGTAGATGTAGTGTTCATGCATAAAGTTCTCAAAAAAAGTAACTAAAAATAAATTTCTCAGTTGTAAAAAGAATATCTTATCTCATTCTGACTTATAACTGAACATAAATATTAGAAGGTATTCATAGAAACAAGACCTCATCCACTGCTTCAAATGTATAAAATCCCATCGTACCTTACAAGAGAATCACTTCGCTTATCTGCCCTCACAAGGAGGACAACTTTCCATCTGTGGAAAGCTCCTGGAGCACCAGTCCGTTTCAGCTCTTCACGCCATCTTTTAGGTGCAGATTGCATTTGGGGTGAATAATGTGAGTCTTTTTCAATTTTATATCCCCATTCATAAGTTGTTTCATCAAGCCATCTGCCACTTTTGGCACTATGAATTATGTAGTCCTTCGTTAATACCCATTTTCCTAGAAAGCAAATGAACTGTCACAAAAGAACTTTAGTTCTGCTAAATGGTAAACAATAAAGATCAAATAGCAACTTATCATCCTTTTTATACATGAGATCCTCATGATAAACTGACAAAACTTTTTAAAATAAAATTTCAAGAGGCCTTCAATATCACTGAACATTGTATATAATCTTTTCTATGACACATAGCCATAATTCTAAATACTACTAAATGAAATATAAATCTAAAGATTAAAAGTAAAGGTGTTACTTGAACTATTATTACTAACTGAATTCATTTTTCTGGGTTAGGTTTATTTCCTCCCATGCTAAACTATTTAAATAACATTCACAGTATTGTTATACTATATTAAATTTATTGATTAGTGAATTTTATAGGAAATGTCATATTCTGCTGCTTATGTGGGCACCACTGATCACTTAAACAGCAAGAAGTTTTGTTTGTAAAGGTTAGTCATAATCTAAATGTTTCTCTGGCAATGAATGTAAAAAATGATGTGGCATTCATGACTAAGACTCAATCACCACAGAAAAAAGCTACTTGTGAATTAGTAGTAAGGAAAAGGTGAGATGAGAATGCCAGCTCTCAACTCGGGTAACAGAATTTACTATCTTAGAAAACGAGAGGAGGAAGAATTGCTTCCCAGTGGAGACAGAGGGACAGCAGCCTGGGAGAAGGACCCACCTCTGTCACGAGACAGGATGGAAGGCAAAGGGGCTGCAGCGGGAGGCTTCACTGAAGCTTTCGTTAAGGATGGGTATTTTGTCCCAATCTTTTTGTTAAGACAATTTTTTTTTCTTAAGCAAAACATTAAAACTAAATTTGTGACAAAGTAAATATTTCTTCCTATTTAATATGTATTTCAATGTGTTAGAAAATTTTAATCAGAATAAAGAAAAATCAAGTATCTTTAAAAAAATCAGAAAACACCACATGTATATCTGACATAATAAGCATAATATATTTCCAGAGACTTGAGATTTCTTCCATTAAGATGACATTTTTTTTCAAGAGTTGGAGAAAGGGAGTTTACTTACCTGCTGCACAAGCTGCTAAAAATTTTTCACTCTTGCACAGGCGTTCAGCTATAAGGTGTGTACAATTTTTATATTTCTGAAGGGAAGAATCCACATGAAAAAATGTTACTAGAGTGAGATTTTCTTAATAATGGAACCTTTTACTTTTACAATATAAGGCCATTTTGATTTTGTTTTTTTAATTCTATGTTTTAACTTTATGTTGAATATTTTAGTACATTTCCATACTCACCTCACTCTTAATAAAAGTGCAATCTAGTTTTAAAAGTAACTTGACTAGAGCTTCCTTTTCTTCCATCTTAAATCCTGTCATCTGGATGACATGCTTTGTGGCACCATCTCCCATCTAGCATATACACACATACAGAAGACAGCAGATGTTAAAGATTATGCATAAAGGTGACTTCTTTTTTTTCTTAATTATGAGTACTAAAAAGAAACTAAAATCATGAAATATGTTATGAATTAAACATGCAAGCCTTAACTGTAAGTAATGATGTTAAATTTAGTTACTACAATAAAAGCCAGTTTCAAATTATTTTTCTCAGAATCTTTTTTTTTTTTAATTTTTTTTTTTTTTTTTTTT